TATTTCGTGGTTGAAACAGTGTAGAAAATGTAAAGACAATTTTCTTTCATTTTAATTTAAATTATAGTTTATTTTAAGCCTGATCACATTCATGCGAATTGTATTTCACCATTGTTCGGCTGCTCTATCAAAGAAAACAAGTGTTATCCATTAATACTCAAATTTATCGAGTTATCGCCAAAATGTGCAAGCAAACTTCGAAAATTGGACATTCGGGGATGGTTGTGTGTTTTGTTGCAGCTTATGCTGACTTGTCTGACGTAGTTAACCCGAGCCTACGAAATTCTCGTGGCAAGAACCACAAGATTACGCCTGTCGTTGGTAATAGCCTTGAGCACCTCCCAGGTAGCAGTGCAATTTGGCTCAGTTCCGCCCCCAATTTTGATGGAGAGCACCCCGGAGGGACGGTTCCTAGGTTCTCCCAACCCTCTCCCATTCCAACAAACCAGACGAGAGGACTTTAGAGTGCAGCCATACATTTATAAACATCCATGCCTTCTGCGGGATTCGAACTCGGGCCCTTCGGTATGGCAGTTAGCAACCTAACCACTACACCGTTTGGGCTGCACAGTTATGTGTATGGATACCTTAGAGACGAGAAAAACCAGGTCAATGTTGCTAGGTGTCCGGTTATTTGAGTCTGTTTCTTTAAGCGGAAAGAGAATTTTAGGTTGAATGTGCATTATTTTCCTTTCAGGGTCAATTTCCACGGTTAAAAGTGGACATCACCCCTGGATCTGAACTGCGGATATTTTGTCTGCTAGAAGGAATAATTGTTTCATGAATTACATCGCGACGGGACCTGCTAAAGAGAATTTCAAGGGCGATTGGAGAGCCTAGGACACAGTCATCAAATCCAGCAAGTGGATTCAGTTTTATCGTTCCATACATTTTAGTTCAGTCGCTCCTTGTAAATCGATTCAAATTTTTAAGGGGGAAGAGAGGTAAGAAACGCAAGAAGACAGCGAGGGCAATCACCGAGAGTTGCCTCTCAATTTGTCAGTGTTAACCAAGCGTACTTCCAGTTACGTTACGGAGGCAAGTGCTAAAGAAAGAGAAAATTCCATACATTCTTCCTTACTTAAAGGATGACAGGAGAGAAACGGAAACCAATCACCAAATCAAAGTGGTGACGAATAATCATCCATTACATTTTAGCTCATGCGCCTCTTGTGAAGTTATTAGGGTTTTCGATGCAGAAAACAAGGCAAATAAGTAATGTTCACACGGAGACTTGAAGTTCGCAATTCTCGACTACTAGGCGGACGTGCTTCCAATTGCATTATTACCACTTAAGGTAAGGTAGGAGAAAATACTTTCCGTAGACTTGTGAGGAAAGACGTATATCAATTCACTGAGTTTGGCAACTCGATAACAATATCGAATGATAACATTAATCGAGATCACATTAAATGGTGTCTACTGTAATGTTCTTTTTATATTATGAAGTCTCTGCATTATCTAGCGGAGTGTAAATGTTTCTCAGTCTGTTGCTTAATGTTAACTATTGGCAGTGTATGTGTACCCAGATTCATTATGCCTAAAAAATTCTTCATTTTTATTTATTTGGTAGGTCCAGCGTTAAAGTATAAGAATGAAATTAATTTCATAAGCATTAATTCAAAATAGCTTTAGTTAAATCATCTTTAAAACTATGATATAGTTTCAGCGTTAAAAAGGATAAATTTTTAATCAGTCGAAAGTTATTCTGGGTATCCTTTATCCTCTACTAATCCCAAAAACTTTTATCTTTTTCTGTTATCCTCTCTTGGGCAGTTCTTTCACTTTCTAATCTCATAGGTTTCTCCTTGTTTCGCTTTTAATTTCATTACCACTTTTCTTTTCCTCTTATCTTTAGAGCTGTCAGATTATCGGCTTTCATTTGCCAGTCTTCTATTTTTCTTTTTCATACATTTATATTTTAAGCTTTTGATATTCCATTGTATTAGATAGTGCATTACTTTGCAGATTAAACCAACTATTTTTAACAATAATCTGCTTGCGGAAAATCTCTTAATGTATCTTGACTTAGATGGAAATATAGATCATAACAAGTTCTTTTGTAAAGCTTATAGATAGAATTTATTTCGTTGTTTATCAGTCTGAATGTGTATTTATATTTAAACAAATTCAACATTAGTATGGCTCTGATTTTATAGAGAAACCTTACGCATTTTAAGACATCTAACACAGATCCCTCTACTGCAAGCAATTTATATTTATAAATATAAATATATTTATGTATATATATAGTCCTATTTTTTGGAAAGGTCTGAGTTATATAAATGGAATAAAAGGTGAAAACAATAACTGATACGTTATCTATGATGAGAAATCGAGATGAAAATGTTAAAATTTATGAGGTACGGCTTTCAGAAAATTTAAAAAACAGTAATTAAAAATTTTAAAGATTTAATTAAAATAATAAAAATTTAATTAAAAATTTCAGAAAATTTAAAACAGTAGATTTCGATGAAACCAAAAGATTCAAAGAAATTTTGACTCGTTTATTCAAGAAATATTTTTGACAATTTCTGGAGAACTGAAGTTAAAAGAAGGATTAAGAGACCAAGAAAATAATCGATCCAAAATTTTTTAATACATTTTATGTTCTTTACCCTAAATATGTACTGCTAAAATTTTTAAAAATAAATAAAAAAACAAGGTGAAATTAGTGACGAGGTGGTGAGGTTGCTAAATGACTAACCGGCAAATAGGTTGCATAAAGAAACGTACTCCCGCCTTCCTTTCTCTTAAGCCCCTACCGTGGCCGTTTTGTTAAGACCGCTAAACACTGGTAGTTCTTCCTAGTTTTGGTTCGAGTCCAGGCGAAAGCACTGACTGTATGGTTGGTTTTCGTTGTTTTCCCTATGTGTAATATAAATACAAGCGAGTTTCCCTTAGAAAGTCCTTCATGAAGGCATCCCTCCTCTTACGCAGATAGCCCTCGTGTATTTGTAATATTCAAATAACCAAATACGTAACCTTTAAACAGAAGGAAACGATAGGTCTTGGAAAAAAGACGAATTAACTATCTCTCTCCGTGATTCAAGGAGTTATCCCTTCCATTTTTTTATAAATTAGTTTTTCTTCTTCCTCATAAGTTGAATCGCGCGTTAGTAATATTCATTATTTTTATATTATCACTAATATGTTAAATACCACGAAAGAAGCTTATGAGCATGCTTATTGTTTTCAGATTATGGATCAGTTATCATGGCAAAATAAGAAAGTATTGTGAGTTGAGGAGTTATTGCTATCCTCGTGTCCAAGAAATCTAATGAAATAAATACGCACCTGCATCTTAAATAGTTATATCTTTCTTTAATAGCACGTGAACAAATTTTTACCTGACATTAATTTATGATGATTTAATGTAATAAACATTCTTCTCCATACTTTCTGGCTTTGCCATTTTCAAAATAAACTGGTCAAAATGGCGAAGCCAAAACGTATGGAGAAAAAGGCCTATGATATTATTTTCCTATATTTAAAATAAATGTAAGATTGAAGGAGAAGGTGGCTATAATTAAAATGAATAAATGATTTTGTGTTTTATACTTTTAATTTCTGGCGGGGGGGGGGGAATTTCTAAATTTGTAGGCAATCGTAAACTGCTTAGCTTAAAATTATTTCAGGGGTTGAATTGAATTCTGCATGCTAAGATCACACTACAGTTTCTCTGAGTTGCAAATTTTGTAATATTATGATTTTTAAATTTTTGAATTTTTTGAAGCATTTCCTTAACTTTTTTATACTTTAGTGGGAAACGCTTTCAGGTGTTAGATTGCAATTTTAAATTTTAAGATTGAATTTTTTTATTACAATTGTTATTATCAAATAAGTTATGTATTATTATTAGTATTATGACTATTATTATAGCAAGCATAATTTATTATTATAACATGTATAATGGGTTATGTCATTAATACATTGCATTTGTGAATGACGGATTACTTTCTTGTTTTATTAATACAATATATTTTCAATTAGTGTTACTTATATTCCTCAGATGTCTTTGCATAAAAGCAAAGAAATAAAAGTCTAGGAGTAAGAATGGAAGCTAAATTTGATTAATTTAAAATATCAATAGAAGATATCGGAAAAAAATGAAGCTAAAGATTTTAATAAAATGAAATGCTAAAAATTTCTGGAACTCTTCCAAAAGATTTTTGTGCCATGTTTAAAAAAAAACGTTTTTCCTTCTTGGGAATTTTTTCCAACAAATCGGTCTCAAATATTTTTTCAAACATCAAACATCAACTTATTTATTTTAGCGAAGGTATATACTATATCTTAAATTCTGAAGTGCAGTTTGCCTTTTGAAATCGCAAAATATAAGTACAATATTGCTTAATTTCCTTCAGAAGTGGAGTAACAGAAATCGAGCACGAAGCAGGTTTCGACTGAGATATAAATTTTTCATATTTGATGCTAAATTCTCACCCAAGATTTTTATATACTGCTTTAGAATACATCAACTATTTAATAAAAGTGTTTTAATATTATTTATAGTGTAGTTCCGATTATCTGAATATTGATTGTCCGGAGTATTGTTATCGAAGCCCATTAACACTTATGTATATTTTAAATAAAAGTGAAATATTTATAGATATTTATTGCATATAGGTTTTGATCAAAAATATAATTTAATGTCGAAATAAAATAATTAATGATTGAAATTTACATTTACATTCAGTTGAAATAAATAACTAACCAGGAAGAATTAGGAATTAGATCCGTCCCACCAAATTCGCGTAATCAAATAGTTAGCATACCTAACCATTCGCTTCATGATACGCTATTTTTATCATTTTAGAGCATGAAATACTTTGAATTTATCATAACATATCTACACCACCCACTCATTTAAAGTAGATTAAATTGCTCATTTGTAAAAATATGAATTAAACTATTACGCTTAAATTCATGTTAAATATGTAACTAATAAAAGCATTTTTTAATATAATTCAGTTCTTAATTATGTTATTTTTTTGTAGATGTAATCAACAGAAGGGCGTCTTCCACCTTTGGTGACGAAATAAGTAAGTATAATTTTTGCTTTTTTTAATATCAGCTTGTTTCATTTAGTTTAGGAAAACTCTTTTCATGTTAATTCTTCAACAGATTTCATTTTTCAGCCATAAAATTATGATAATTCATGTACTTCAATTTATAAATTTAATATAAATTAAGTGAAATTCATATGCATCAAATATACAAGTATATTCTTCTGAGTAATATGTGATATAAATATGATTGGGAGGAATCAACGCAAAAAATACTGGATCTATCACTGGAAAATTTATGAATAGAAAGTGGGTTGGATTAGGTTTATATGTTTGTTTAGCTAATTATGACAAACATGTAAAGTTATCAACTAAAGGGGATGGATCAGGACAATAATTAAAGCGCTATAAATTTCATTCCACTTCTTGGCTGAGTTGATAGATTATTTGAATATAGTTACGAACACATGAAAGTTATTTGCATAAGCTTGGGGATGCCATCGTAGATAACTTTCTAAGAGAAACTAACTCGTATTCACGTTACACATGGGAATAACAACAAAACCCAAACATGCAGCCAGCTTGCATGAGCTCGCATGAGTTCATGTGCTTGCATGGGTTGGAATCCAAAGCGAACTATCTGTATTTAACTATCTTTAACCGCTCGGCCACAAGTGGGGCTCCACTTCATGGGAGCTGTCGGAAGGCTTGTGTATAGTGTTATTAGAAAGGTCCATGTTTTTAATAATAAAAGCAGATGTCCCTATATTTTGCGTTTTCTTTAATGGCATCTGTTCAGCATTTAGACCACGAGGCATTTACATTATGAGATTCACAAGCTAAAACAGTCATCTTATTTTTCATTCTTGCACATTATATTGCAGATTCATTAGGAGTTTTAAAGTAGGAAACACGAAAAATGAGTAATGCCCTAGCTGGTACTCGAACCTGGACCTCTCGAACTGAACCTATATACACCCCCTTTTATAGGGCGACTGTGGATTAGGGGAGCCAGTTGCCAAATCCTGGTGATGAAGAATCATCATCCACCAAAGGTTTTTTAGTTCAGGTTCACTGTAGAGTCATTTTGATGCTGGAGATGTGAAAAAGGAGCAGTGCCCTCGCCTGGACTCGAACCTCGACCTCTCGAATACGCGCCGCGTGTGCTACTGTTACACCACGAAGACATGCAGAAAGGTGGGAGAAAATACCTTATATACTCCCTCTTTTTAAGTACAACTGGGAATTAGGGGACCCAATCGCTAAATCCTGGTGGTTAAGAATTATCAACCAGCAACCTTTAGTTCGAACGCCACTTTAGTTCGAGTCATTAGGATTTTTAAATTAAAAAAAAAATTATCAATGCTTTCACCGGAACACTAACCTGCACCTTCCGAATACCGGTCGAGTGTGCTGCCGTTGCACGACGAAGGCATGTAGAAAGGAGGAAGATCATACCTTCTAATGTGACCCTTTTAGAAATCCGAATTCTATTTTTAACTCACAAAATCTTTCAAGTTTGTATTCGAGGTATCAGAAATTAGAGTTTTGTACATTTAAACTTAGAGACATCAAGACGGATCTCATAAAGTATAGAAATATTTGCAATCAAATTAGAATCCAAGTCATTAGTGGAATCCCTTAGACATTATTTATCAAACTGTTATTCTCTAGAATAAGGATGTAAAATAATTCTAAAGAGCAAACAATTATTTTTTTTTTATGCTGTAAACTAACCTCTTGATTTTTCCCTGCAAACTGAGACTCTGCAGAAGATTCATCTTAATGTTTCTTTCAATTATCCCGAAAATGATCAGAAAATGTTTTCCTGAGAAGTTAATTAGATTTCCAATTTCGACAGCAGAACAACTAAAGTACTCAAACTAGCTCGGAATGAAACGCTAATTTAGCATTAACAGTCCGCGACTTAAATGTTTCATATTTATAAAAAAAACATTCTAAATCATCACAAAAATCGATTTCACGAGATCGATAGTTTTAACAGTAGATAATATGAATCAGGGGCTCATTGTTTATTTTCTTTTCCTAGTTCCTTCTATCCACTAGCGAAGGTATACGGATCGAAGGGTTTTCATTGCATCTTTGAAGTAAAGTCCCTGTGCATTTACCAATATTCATGCTTTGTTTCCAGTATATTGACTCTGGCAGTATGATATGAGAGTTTTAATTGCATATAATGTTCAAGAATTTTAACTATGCACTTCATTTATAACATTTCATTAGCATCTTCTTTGCAAATATAGGTACATTTTTAAAAGCTGCATTAAATTTTATATTAAACACTGATTTGAAATTATGTTTTAATTAAAGCTTTTGATATTAAATTTGATATTAAAAAGCTTTTTCCTTTTTTCTGTCTTTGTTATTCGCATATGAAGTAATCAAATGGCTCGAGAACCTTTTAGGGTTCATCCCATTTCTATTTTTAACACATTACAAATCCAGCTTTAAAATACAAAAATAGGATCCGTCACGTTAATTCATTGCAGGTAAAATAAATTATCTCAACACTAATGTATTAAATTACAATATAACTTCAACAGAAAAACTGAAGATTATTAACTTATTAAAGGCTACTGTAAGTATTTTTACTTCTTTGTTAATCATAAAAGCACATCATTTTCTTCTTTTCAAAATCTACTCCTTCCTTGGATACTTCTTTCCCTTCCTAATTTCATAAACCTTTCTTTCTTTTCTTAATCATTTTTTACCACTTTTGTTTCCCTCTTATAGTTCTTAGACCTGTCAGATTACGCACTTTAGAAATGTCAATTTTGTTTTTTCATCTGAGCTACCATAATTTGAACTTAGGACATTTTATTTAATTACGCTTCAAAACAAAATACTTTAAAAGATTAACTTTTTTTTTAATTTTTAGTAGCAATCTATTTGCGGAAAAACTCATAATCTGCATTGATATAAATGAAATATTGACTATCATATATTGAATCCCTGCTCCTAACAAGCTTAAACAATTCGTTCTGCTGTTTAGCAAATTTCCTGGAACTGGAACCAAATAGATAATTTTTATTATCGCTTTTTTTTTTTTCTTTCTCGTACAGTGCTAAGGGTAACAAAATCTATCTATTCCGGCTAAAATTTCACATTGCGTTTGTTGAGTAGGGTAGTCAAAGAGGTGGATATGATAACTACATTTCTGTATATAATTTTGTTACGAAATGTACAGGCGCGGTAAGATACCCCGCAAAGCAGTTTTAGGGTTACCATAAAATGAACACAAGCCGAAAGCTATATAAACCCTGCTGGTCCGCAGTCAGTGTGTGCCTCGTCTAGAGTGCGAGATAGTGTGTCTCATCTAGTTAGTCCGTGCGGAGACGATCGAGTTGACAGCCGGCCAGCGAGTGTCGAGTGGGTCGTCGAGTGCATCGAAGAGTTTCTTATTGTATCGCGGTTAGTGCATCATCGAGAGAGTGTGTTCCGGGAAGCTCCGGGAACGACTGAACCGAAGAGTCGGGAGCTGTGCTCTGTGTGTCGTTCAGTGCTTCGCGAGTTGTAGCGTGGAGAGTCTCGAGATTACGTGGAATTCCGAGAACGAACGAGCAGAGTCGGTAACATGTAGTCTGGTGCTTTGCAGTGAAGCTGCCTCCACCGTTATTGCTTGACAGTGTGAAGGCTGTGTCGCTGATTGTTCCAGCGTGTTTATAGTAGATCTTCGACGACTGTAAAAGTGTTTTCGAGCTGTCCTGATTGATATTGGTAAATAAAGTGTGTTTCGATACTTCATCAAGTGTCGCCGTTATTTACACCAAATCCACACAAACCCTGTACGAACGTGAAGGAAAAAATAACGTAACAACTGGTGTCAGAAAAAAAAAAAAAAAAGTAACAATATTCATAAGCATTATACGTACACCTTTGCACAAAAAAAAAAAAAAAAAAAAAAAAAAAGGAGAGTTCTTTATCTCCGTTCAACTGGGCCGATTGACGAAATTTCACTTGCGTTTTTCACGTCTCGAAAGCGCGACTTAGGATATATAGTAGATTTATATATAGCAATGTTCTAACATAGGTTTTTCTGACGCAAAATCAGACTTTTTCTGAAATGACAGACTGGTGTTTTTTCCATATTTCGAGCCTACGACTCAAATTATCCCGAAGTGCTGAGTTTTGTGAAAACCGCACGGTTAGGTTTTATAAAATTAGTTCTCGAAGTTTTGGCTTATTAGTGTTAATTGAATTTGGTATACATTTATATATCTCTTTTTCTATTAAACTTACTTGATTCTTTCTTCAACCGTCGAAGCTTAGGCTCAATCTAAATAAAATTCGCAGATACTTTCTGATTTGCTTTTTAAATTTGCATTTTCAGAAATTTTAATAAATTTTTCGAAAACGTTTTTGATTATAACCTGCAAAAGTTTCCCCATCATTTTAAAGTGGATGTATTTACGGGCAAGCCTGCAAAAAATTAGAGTTTTTTATTCAAAATTTCTCAAGATGTAAGTGAATTTCTGTATTGACTCATTTTGATATTTGGCATATTTGTTATAAGCGATAATAACGCAAAATATGCTTTACGCACTTTGTTAAAATTATTAGAATGCATGTATATGCACCTTTTTTTCCACTCGTCCACAATGAAGAAACGGAAAGGACAATAGGTAACCATAAATTAGAATTTCCAGAAGCGGAAAATGAAAAAAGGGCGCCAAGGTAAATTTTTTAATTTCTCGGTAAGTTTCTCACCAGATTTTACAAAATTTAATATTTGGGCATAATTTGACTCGCAGAAGCGAAATACGGAAAACCATTGGCTTGTCATTTCAGAAAAAGTCCTATTTTATACTAAAATGCCTAAGTTAGAACAATGCTATATATGAATCTAATATATATCCTAAATTGCGCTTTCGAGACATGAAAAATGCAAATCAAAGTTTGCCGATCGGCCCAATAGAATAGGAGATATTAGAACCATCCCTTTTTTGTGTGCTCAGAGAATACTAAATTTCTTAAAAGAAGTTAGGGATTATTTTAAAAGGTTTCAAAATTGAGAATGCAAGAATTCTGCCAACATTGACATTTTATATAACTTTTATACATTATTTTATATAAACCTCTAAAACATATTGCAGTTAGTAAAATACTGTTACGTGCGTACGTTTCCGTAACGGAGTGTATGCACACAGAACCGATGATAAAATTTATTTTCCCAAAAGAAACACTTTGCAGTTCTGGAACGTTTCACAAAAGTACTCGCACAGAGCAAAATCAGTAGCTACCACACCAAACTACTAAGAATGTTAAACACAACGCAATTCAAAACCCATCTATAGAACGAAGCTCGTACGGAGATATCTCAGCACTCCAAACTCAATTCTAATGTAAAACTGTGAACTGATGCTCTCTCCGGCTTATACACTTTTCCTCCGCCTGCCTAGAAATTTCAAGCAGCTTCAATTTTCGATTGCAGGAAGAAATACATAATTAGTCACATATAGGGAAGGATATAGTTATAGTTACATACAGAGGATCAGATCAACTATCATTAAATAGGTATCGAACCAAAATATCATCAAATGGAGCCCAAATTTGGCGACTTTTGGCGATTTCTCGGCAAATTTCTCGAAAACGGTTAGTTGCCAGAACCATCGGAACCTTGATAATTAATTGGCCAGATAGCCATTTACTTATTTACCTCAATGGTAGATGGATAACTTCAACATTTCGAAGCATTTCATGTTACATTATACAAGAGGTACTATAATTTTACACATAACTGCACCAAAATTATTTACCTACATACATAATTCGGAACAATACTTATTGTGCTTTAATGAGTTAAAAAAAAAATTCTGTACTTCTAATGCAATTGTAATCCTATGGAAACCTTTCGCTTGTAACTAAGTAAAAGACAAAGAACATTTTACTCTAATCTGTTTCTTTCAAATAGTCACCTCATGGCCAGTGCTAGCCCCCTCCCATTTGCGATCGTAACTCGCAGGGTTAGCAAAGCTAGCCGTCAAAGCCCGCACCACTGGAAGGTGCTAGAACGGTTTATAATTATGTAAATTTTTATTAATAATTATTAAAAGTATGATTATTAAATTTTTAAAGAAATAATAAAACATGCAATAAAATGGTATACATACACTTAATATTTGGGAAACGATACCTTAGAATGCTGTTCCTTCTCATTCATTCAAAACTCTCAAATTTTCCTTACATCCAAATTAAAAAAACAAATGTTCCTGACAATTTAACTTCATAAATGGAGCAACTGTCTTCAAACGCTACAAAAATGAATTCAATTATGATTTTGTTGTTAATTTTGGACTTTTTTGTAACATTGTAAGGAATATGTTAATTTTATTAACAGTTAAATTTTGAGTTAAAGTTCCTTTCCTGTCGATTCTTAACTTCAACTTACTACTTCCGGCCAGAACGTAGTTTTAGAATCACGTCTGAATACATAATGAAGAAGGGCGGTATTTAACCGCTAAGTTCTTCGGTGTTAGAGAGAGAGATACCAGGTATTCTGGCTGCACGCGTCCGCCTTTTTAGTCTACTCTCTCGCAAGTTATTATCACGCTCGGCCGTACTTCAGGCCCTTGGTAGCTTCGCAGTCAATTAGCGTTAAGAGGCCAACTCTGTTAGAATTTTGATAGCTTCGGCTATGCCTCTTTAGTTAAGATAAGTTTAGTTTAATTCTCAGTATCTCTTTAGTTAAGATAAGTTCAAGCCCAAATGTGGGCTTCATTGTACAACTCCAAGACGGAGTTTTGCTAAACTTTAGTTGGAATAATAAAGGGCTAGTTTACCCTTCTATCTTATTGTCTCCTGTCACACGAATTCAAGCGATTATTCGCTTATCAGTTCTTAAGATTGTTCACTTCCAACAGTAACTTAGAATTACAAAGTGAGGAACTCTACAACATTATTTGCAAGCGCGTAAAATATCACACATAAGTAGTCATATTTACGGGTATTTTCCTCCTGAAAAGTGCTATGTGAAATTTTCTAGTCAATTTTCTCATTCTGGAAAGACTTTGAATTTGCCATAACTAATCTAGATATTTTTTTTTTCGGTTCTTGAACCCTGTACTATACACTCATATTGGCTATATCCTTGAAAAATACTTGCTTTTTATTTTTATTTATGTATTTAGTTATTGTATTTAGCTAAATGTTAAATGTAATCGCAATCTGCTACAAGTTAAATATAATGGCGATCTACTTCTTTTTCGTCGTATTTATTTAATTTTTAATTACTTCATTCTCTTTACAGATCATCAGAGGGGCAGATCCTACATAGCAAATGAAACACGTAAGTATAGTTTTGACTATTGCATAAGGAAGTTATTCTTATCTTTGGAAAACTATCGTGTTTAGGCAGAATTTGAGGTGCTTCCAAACTTGCTGTTCATTAATATAAAGCATAACAAAAGCATGAGAAAAATACGTTAACTTAATAACAGAGCACTTGTTGCTTGTTTGCTACTAGTTGTACACAAGTATTCTGCTGTTATGTGAAGACAGAATTGATTTGAAAGAGTAACACACCTAAATTTAAAATTAAGAAAAAACACTTTAGGTTTTGTTCAATAAAACTTTATTGATTTTTAGAGCAATCACATACAGGCTTCTCGTTTTTCATGAACAAAATTTTTACTTCTGAAGAAGAAAGAGTTATGTCTGTTTATTTTTAGCAAAGTTTCAAAGAATGTTTCTATTAAGTAAACAGAATTAAAAGAATGTTTACTGAATGTCTCCCCCCTAACAAAAATCCAACAACTTTTAAGCATTATATTTTGGAATTCATTTAAGAAGTTGAAATTGGATTTAATATTCTCCGAATCGAAAGGAGTTGTTGAAGCATTTAAGATACCAAAGCTTAGAAAGCCACATATAGTTCGAAAACTCAAAATGACAAAAACTGCATTGAGAAATGGATTGAAAAAAAACTTTAATTATCATAAAGAGCTGTTTAAACAAGTATCAACGACATGACCATTTATATCAAGGATCACGTTGAACAGTGGATAATCATTAACAATCGGTTTATCTTCAATTCAGCTTTATAAATCAAACTGATGCAAAATTGTTTTTCTATCTGCTAGTGTTTTAATTTATGTACTATCCGACTCAAAAGGAAGTCTGTCTTTTGTTCTCCTATAGAAATCATTAAAAAGCTTCGGATATTTTAAAAACGGTTTCGCGTTTCTCTGGAAAAAGAAAAAAAAAACCTTTTGTAGCCCAAAATAAAAAATTCTTTGAGAGCTATGCAGATGCCACTCATGTTGGAGACGAAGTCAGAATTTCAAACTTATGTAAACAAGCTTTATCTGCGCGTGAAATAAATTACTGCTCTGACCTTAAAATTCCTTTCAGATAAGAAAACTTCTCGACCGATCAACTGAAATAGTGGATTTTGTCTTAAAGATATGCTCTAAACATACGACTTACATATAAGCTATTACGTACAGGCATGAATGTACGGCAATATCTATTTATTTCCCATTCAATGCTTTGCGGCTTTCAGGAAGAAGCGTCATCGTTGGTATCTTGGAACAAGAAGATGAGCTGAGTTCGGTTTCGAAGTGCCGGACTAGATAGAGTTGATCTTCTGGCTGGAAATTTAGAAATGGAACGTGCGCCTTACCTGTCTGGCATTTTTTAACAGCTGATAAACTAAATCTTTAAATGCTAGGAAGGAAACAAAAACTGAAATTTATCATCGGCGAGCTAAAAAAAATAAGAAAAGAATAATGTTAAAAGTATTTAAGTGTGCAAACTGCTATTAGTTCTTGATTATAAGGAAAAATAATAAATATTTCCCGTTTAAAAGACATTACAACATTTGAACGTCACCCTAACTATTAAATTTAGTTGGTACCTTGTTGAACTCTGATAATTCTTTAGATTTAATTAGAAATCCGTTTGATCATATGAAAATATTCATATGTTTCTCCGAAGATCTTCCGAAAAAGATGGATCTTCGGAGTTAAGGGCTGTTTCAGAAGCAAGAGATGTTTTCCATGAGAAATCGATCATAGAGTTTTGCCCTTTTTAGGCGCACCTTATATAAACGTTACAGAAAAAGATATCTGTGCGCTATTGCATTATGTCGGAGCAATGAAGAAGATTGTTTGGAAGCTCGAAAAACCTGCATTTTGCTCTTTCAAACATTTCTCCTTTGATTTCAGATTTGATGCAAAAACGCAAACCATCACAGGTTTCTCACTGACCTCATCAAATCTATGTAATTTTTAAAATATTGATATTTACTTCAAAGTCTGTTTGTTGATTAAATTTATCTCAATGATTTGTTCAAAAATTAATTCAGTTAAAAATTTAGTAAGAAAAGTTAATAATTAGTTATTCCCAAACCATTATCAGAGTTTTAGTAAGTAAATTTATATGTAACTTCATAGTACACTTTGTATATTATACCCAAATAATGTTCAAAACTCAAAATAAAAGTTTTAAGTTTTGCATATTATTTGAAATGTATCTTGAAGTAAAAAAAATCTTAGAAATAAAGGATGAAATTCTGGCTCACAGGAAAAGAAAGGAAGGAAAATAAATTGAATAGGTTAACAAACATTGCATTAGATATATTTATGCGCAAGCTACACGAACAGAAATAGGTGTAATGAAAAAACGCTCTGCCAAATAGCATAACGGTCGCATGTATTTAAAATTTGAAAACATTAAAGCCTTTACTTTGATTTGCATTTTTGTTTTTACTCTTTTCGGAATAAAATTTTAAAAAACTCTCGTATTTTGGCAAAACACTACGTGCAAGCTTAATTCCTAGTAACTGTGCCTCAAGCCTACAAACTGTAAATAAGCACACTACATTAGATGTTTTTCAATTATTTCCTGCTTTGAAGCTCAAATTTTAATTAACATATTCATTTACTTTTCTTGTACATTATGTATAGTATGCATCGTAGACGATAAAGTGTACCAAAGAGGCGACCCGGTACCCGCTGATGACCATTGTGAGAGGTGTACGTGTCGACCACCCGGCTTCTCTTGCGTATTGAGGGACTGCCACGTAAAACCGGGATGTAAGGCTGTCCGACAAGTAGGAGAATGCTGTCCGGAATACATCTGTGGTAAGTTTCTTTATTTGTCTATCTGTGAAACCTCTAATGAAAATATATTATGAAAAGTCAGATTAGAGAATTTTCTCTAGAATTCGAAATATATAAGAGATCACAGATAGTATCCGGATATGCGGAATATCCAGTGTTGTCATCCAGTAAAGTGTGTTGTCCTTTTTCTATAAGCTACAGTATTTATTTATTTATTTATTTTCGGTAATGTAAGTGAAGTAGTTTTACATCTTCGTTAAAATATTTTATTTCGACAATGTTCGTGCATTTAAAAATATTTTTTGCCTTATACTTAAAGACGAAACTTGGCTTTTTTGGCAAAACTAAACAATAAATTGTTTAATATTACCTCATATCTTCTCATCATTCAAGTTCATTTCTGCTTCAAGCAAAATAAAGCAATGAAATTAATAAATATTTACGTGGAGTCTGAAAGAAAATATATAACCTTGTTTATACGGAATATAAAACATAAAACTATTTCTTTTCAATTAAATTTAAAATTAGAGTACATTTACAGAAATTAAATAATGAAAAATAAAATTAGCAAAATAAGACTTATTAAATCACTTAGCAGTTTGTCACAGTAACAGTTTGTGTAGTTTTAATGAAATGGGCAGGGGGTAAACGGCGATTTCTGTTACCACTTATCTCCAGATATAAAAATTTGAAAGGTTAATTTAATTTACTTCATGAATATGAAGATTTGAAGTGAGAAAGAATTGAAAGAAAATATGTGAAAGGATACAAGAAATCTTCATTGATATTAAAAGCAAAGCGCAGTTTTCCATTATTTTATCATCCAAATGTAGGCACAGTAAATCAAGCAACAACTTGGACTGAGTATATCTTTTAAGGCTTCATACTCGTGGTCGCTCCAGTTCACTCAAGAAAAGGTTGTAAACAAACACAAACATCACACACAGAATTGACAGATCATTTCAACAGAATAACGAAAAGAAATTCAGCCTATTATTAAAATAAAGCAAGTGTTTTAAGAACTGGAAGTTATTTCTTTGAAGTTTTCCCTCTCGATCAAAATCATTTCTACAAAGAAGCTGCATTCTGGGCAGGTATTGCCATTGCAAGATGATAAGCGGATCAGTAATGAAATTATATTAGTATCCATCAACTCTTATCCTTTCGTTTATGATAATACATTCATTAGTTTACACTAGTCAATAAGTGGTACCAATATATAGCAAAACTGTGAGAATCTGTTGTACCTTCTTTGAACAGGGACTGTAGAGACATTAGGATTTTTTGGAAGTAGGCAAGACGAAAACTATGCAACGCCTTCGGGAATCGAACCGCGGACCTCTAGAATACGCGCGCAGCGTGCAGACCACCACACCACGAAGGCTCGCTAAGAAGGCGGGAGAAATATCTTATATACTTCCCCTTTTAAAGGGCGACTGGGTTTCTAGGGGGCCCAATTGCCAAATCCTGTGTGTGGAGAATCATCATCCACGACCCTCTTAGTTTGGGCGCCACTGTAGAGACATTAGGTATTTTTTTGAAGCAGGCAAGATGAAAAATATGCAACGCCTTCGCCGAGAATCGAACCGTGGACCTCTGGAATACGCGCCCAGGGTGCAGACCACCACACCATGAAGGCTCGCTAAGAAGGCGGGATAAATACCTTATAAGACAAGTATAGTCACTTTTCAGCCAAGAAAAACCACATATTCCCTTGACGTTCTTTCATTTGCTAATAAAAGATTAAATATGACCAAGAGCTACCTGAATGAGCATACAGAAACACTTTTTGGCCTATTGCTCATCAAAACAAATTTGCTGATTTATGATGATTTAGAAAACCTGAAGATCTGAAGCAGAAACTTGAGAGTCTTAAATGACATAGACATTAACGCACCTCATTACTTCAACCCTCATTCTCATCCCTCATTAACGCATTTCATTGCTTCAACTCTCATTCTTATCCCTCATTCCTATCCCTCATAAAAGCACCTCATTATTTCAACTGTTCAACAAGAACTTTTTGAGATGCAGCATTAACACTATTCTTGTATTTTCTGACTTCGAAAACTTGCAACGAGAATGCATTATCAATTTTTGTCACTCGCTCACTCGGAATTCGTAGACATTTATTTTAGAAAACTGGTTATTTTGGCGAAGAATCTGAATAATAATTACACCTGTTATTTCAATATTTAAAAAACATTCATGAGTTCTTTTGCTCCTCTTTATCTTTTTTTTATCTGCAAGTCTGGTCCTCCCTCTTTTGTCTGAACCAGACAATTAGTCTTAAACCCAGAATAATTGTAATTAAATGTATATTATGACATTTGAAAATGAAATAATACTGTTATTTCGTGAATATTTAATAAGTATGTATCCAGGGCGGATGAGCTTGGCCTGACAGGCACAGAAAGTAATTTATTTATTAATACAACAGCCCTTAAAGTTTCAAATTTTAGAGATGCTGATAACTATATAAAATTGCATTTCCAAAAAATAATTAACTGAACATATATTTTATTTTATTACAATACTATAGTAGCATAACTATAACAAAAATACTAACAAAATTGTGCAACTTATGGAAATTTAGAGAGCGGGTTCATAAAACATTTTTAATCATTCCTTGAGATAGAACAGGAAAAAAGTATTCTCTTGATGATTTAAATATCAGCTCTGCAAACTATTTTAGGCATATGATGGCTCTAGGTGTTAAAATGATATATGTGGCTTTCCATTGACATAAAATACTGTATAAATTAAAAAATTTATTTATTAATACAAATGCATATCTTTATTAGTCGTGTTTTATGTTTTAAATAATATTAAAAACCTACATTATGTATCATAATATTGAATATAATGTGTAGCAAAACAACAAAAACGAAACAAAAATAATGAAATTTTTTAATGCTTTTTTTTTTTTTTTTTTTTGTTTTTTTTTTTTTTTTTTTTTTTTTTTTTTTTTTTTTTTTTTTTTTTGTTTTTTTCCATACAAATACTAAAAATTTGCTTAAAGTATGTTAAAATTAAATAAATAATAAAACTTTCTTAATTTAAAAAGAGCTCTTTTGCTAGGTCTACCTTATTAATTATATAATTCCTGTTAGATTTCTTGTTAGCAATAGTAAATCTGTTTCATAGTTTATCCAAATTAATATCTCTAAATAATTCTCTACTTATTTCCTATAGATATTTTACATTAAATTTATGATTAAAGTATAATAAAATTAAAAACACTATTAAAATTATAACTTTCTATTTAATTATTGAAAAATAACCTATAAATCGCAAATTATGATAAATCATAAAATATTCACCAAGTAATATTTTTCTTTAAATTAAATTTTATAAAATTATTTTATAGTTGCAATTTGTTATTATATGGATTCTAAATATGTTATGCAGATTATATGAACTTACTTAAATACAAATAATAGACATAGTATATTCCATGTTTTAACTTCATTCACATTTGGTTTTGTTCTACTTCAAATCATTATAAATTCAAATTAAATCAAACAAAATATGAATAAAATATTTGCTTCTTTCTTGCATCTAGCATGTAGTTCCGAAGACTCATTGCAACGTAACGTATAATATGTAGTTATAGAAATTTCTGCTTGCTTAAAGAAAGCTTGTACGTCACTGATAAGGCCACACCTAAAGTACACAAACAATAATTCCCGATTTCATTTCTAGTCAACACATATGACGTACTCATATGCTGTTGGCAAAGGAATGCTGCATAACTGTGCCACGTCATAATGACGTGGCACAGTTATCTATCTGGCATCTTTACAGAAGATGAGCCCAATAGTTACCGTATCCAGGTAGTTCTACTTGGTTTGGGTTCGATCCCACGCTAGCGTGCAGGCTGCGTGGCTGGATTTTGTGGGTTTCCCCAAGCGTAACGTGAATAGGAGCTAGTTTCGTTCATAAAGTCCTCCACAAAGGCAGCCAGATAACCCTTGTGGCTTTGCGATATTGAAAAAAAAAATGTTGCGATGGTTTACGCCACAATATAACAAACTTGTCAAAAGGTTCATTAAAAGAAATGCCGAAGACTTTAATAAACCAAAAAATGAACTTTATTTAAAATTAAAAGGTAAATACGAAATTAAATACCTGATGATAAGCCGACGTCAAATTCGACTACGAACAAGCAGGAGCAACGCATTACATGTATAAGTGAGTCTCTCGGCGAAACGTTTAAGTCTTTATACTCGCGCTATAACGAGTGCGCACGGGTATAGCGCAGCGAACATGGATACTGCATGCAAAAGTTAAAATACAAATATTCGTGTCAGAATGCAAACACTTCGCCACAAACCTAACCTTACCTTAGTGCGAGATGTCTACCATTTCCCAAGAAAGAAGCCTTTACAAGAATACCACATCATAAAATTCCTATTATTGTTAAGATCTAGATCGTTTAGCTATCATGAAATGTGATTAGATCTACCTAAGTGTTGATCCTTGCGAATTCTCGCGCAGGCTTGAAGATGAACACAACAGGGGAAGAGAGTAAAATACCCTTTTATTGAACACAATATGATTAACATATGAACATGTGATTAAGGCATGGCCTTACGTGCTTACAAACACCGACCACTTGCGGTGAGAACTTGAAAGATAATATAACACTAAATTTAAAAGTAAAGAGTAGTGAGAGACTACAAAATTTAATTTAATCTAACGGGCTGACTCAGAGACCTATGCCGGGAGAATAACTCGGCGGCAAGAATACGTCGTCGATATTAAGGTTAGCAGCTGGAAAAAAAATAGCAACGTGCCCTCACAATAACCTTTTCGCTCCAACAGTTTAAGTACTCTTGTCACCCTAACTTATTCACATCCAGGCGAGGAAATGCGAGAGGAATAAGAGGAAGCAGTAAAGGCTCACAAATTATGACTACTAGTAAAGTGACTAGTAGTAACAATAAATAAAACCCTACATTGTCATTTCAGTTTTAATGGATGGAAGCTCAGTTTTTAGTTTGAAGAAAGCCGTCTTTATGCTGGGGCATTCTTATGACGATTTCTTTGTTGGCGCTATACATAAAGATGCATATACTTAATATCAAGACCAGGTGCATACATATGCTTCTCAATGTCAAGGTAAGGATATTCACGATTTAAATGCTGCGTAATGGGGAACTGGATAGTACTATGATGAATCTGAGGCAAGCTGATGACACCGTTATTAAAAGAATGAGATTAGAACTTTTGCCATTCATTACATTTTTTATTTCTGAATATCATCAATTCTCTTTCTTCTTTTGCGCTGTGTCAGTTCTGTAGCTATGATTAATATTTTATTGGTTTTTAAATCGTCAAGATCAGGTAAGGACCGGCACCTCAAGAAGTTTAACCAATTACCGATGGCCCCATTTGCGCCTGCCTGTAGTTGTCAGTTGTCTTCTGATAAATATTGTCTGCTTATAGGTTTTGATTTTGCATTACGTATTTTCTACTACTGAATTACCAATCTGTGAATCTTCCTTTATTTGGTAATTTTCTTCTAGCTTTCGATTTAAAATGAAAGATCTATAACTATCAATATCTCTGTTCTCGATGTAATAAACTTTTTTGTAAGATATATTAAATAAGCGAAACAGAACACGTGATTGACATTTCAAAAGAATACATGTTACATACGTTAATAAAGTTAATGCTTTGTGTGTCCACTTTTAGTCTGTATATTACGTTATGCTGCTTTCAAGGTAAATATAAATAAAAAAACTCTGAAAGGTTTCGGATTTTAAATTACGTCCAAAGAGGCGTTTTTTAATATTTGTGTGTTACCTTTATTTATGAAATATCATGTTCTTTGCATTTAAACCATAAAATTCAGTTCCAGAGCAACATCGCAAAGTAATTTTAAATTGAGCATATCTTTATAAATTCCGATACACAGTCTCACGCGCTGGAGAATTCAATGTTTTTTCTGTACAACATTGCCATTACTCGCTTTGAAATCCTTGAGTTCGTTAATCAGAAATTCGTTAAAGTTTTACAAAATGTGAAATCGATAATAAAACAAATTCCATATTTCTAATTTAGGCTTTCAGATGCCCATATTCGCAGTAGGATTACGTCATTCAAAATTGGATGGCTGTAGGTACCGTTGTTTTATCACAATGCGAGAAACATACACACATTTATGCAGATTCTTCATTATTTAACTTCTACAAATCTAATACAGGGCAATAGTATTTCGTGATAATGATTTGAAAAGTGATACAGCCTTTTAAAGTTTTCAACGCAAAATAGCAAAACGAAAACAATAGTCCTTCAGGGACAAAGCCTCTTTGGAGCATCTCACAACAATGCAGGATACTCATAAACAACTCAGCGCATTTCTCTGATGCTTATTAATTTGTATTATGCATAAAATTGGGCATGAAATCAAAACATTTTGTGCTGTGTGTAATAATTTTAATATAAATTGTTTCATTGTAATTGTGATTGTTTCATTGTACGTATAATACCGCAATCGATACAAAGTCTCTTGCCATGCGGTTCTTGTGATTTCGGGTACTGATCGCCGCCTGAGATAACCACTGATCTAACTTTGTTGTAAAAGTCTTACAGTGTTAATAGTCATCTTGGTAGAAAGGAATATTTCTTCCGGATAAAAATATAAATATAAATATTACATCGGCATACAAGGCCTGTGTATAAGCATAGATATGTTAATTACAAACATTGTATTGTACAAGTTACATGAGATAGTTACATAAAACCATGACAGTTAACCTTTTGAAGACGGGATGGCCATTATAGTGGCCATAGAATCCTCTCTTTGAAAAGACGGGGTTGTCCACTTTAGTGGCCATGTCTTTTTCCTCCATTTTCCAGGCTGAAAAGTGGGGTGAAATGTCAAATTTGACGTCCCTAGGGTTTTAACTACTTATCTCTTTCAAAGGTCTTCCTTTTGCGACATAGATGCACCCCTCTGAGAATCCATTAAAGTACACACAAGAATCTTTGTTGCAAATAGGAGGTGATTTCTTAAAGGGGGGAAAACATTCGGTTCAAGATTCCTCGTCCTTTGGTAGCTTTTACTGCTACCAAAGCCCCGGCCTCAAAAGGTTAAGTGAACATTTAAACCTTATCTGAATTCATATTTACAATACTTTTACTGAGATAATCAAAGTAAAGTTGTAATTCATTTACACACTGACTAGATTTTTCAATGTCATTTTAAACATTTAATAGTTTTGCTCTTGCAGTCCTGTTACTATTCTACGGGGTGAGCTATATTCTAGTGTTGATTTTCAGTTGTTGTAGTATTTTGATTTGCTATTAAAATTATGCTGCGAAGATATAATTCTCAAGGGAAGGGGAGAATTTCTTAGTACCTTGCTGAGCATAGCCTGATCACCTCCTCTATCTTAGTTTTCGTCTGCTTGTTGCCACAAGTATTCTCCGCCCATTGTGGCCAGTATTCACTGTTTGGCATTTTTAAATGCAGTTTATCGGTTTGTGGGTAGTTGAAGAGGTAGGGATCTGCATCACCTACTCCACCACATTACTATAGTTCTAATGACTTTTAAGTTCAATAACGATACAAAACTTAGTTGCATGCATAGTTCATTCCAGACCCTAGTATAAAGAAAGCAATTAATGTTATGCGAACCTATTTAAAAGCTAGTTCTATCTTCTGATATTGCTACCTTCAGATTTCTTTACCTTGAGGAGTTTGTAAAACACCATGTTGCGTTAAAATTAAATGAAAACAAATGTGGAAATCGTTATAACAATAATGACCGAAACGCTAAGGACTTCACGACGGCTAAAATATTGTAATCGTAATATCTGCCACAAAAGGGTAGTATACTGAAATGTTTTAAAGTTTAACATATATGTGAAAGCTCTTCTTAAATTGAAATATAATTTTATATTTATTACAAATAGCTATATTTAGATAATGTGTTATTTATGACCTAATTATGCTCTATAATTTTGTATCACCTTATATTCATTTCTACAACAGTGCCTGCTATTTTTGCGATTTTCCTATCGTTATGAAATAAAAACAAATCTTTGAATTAAGAATTTCTTTAAAGTGATTGCGCGTTAACTGAATTTTCTTTTCGCTGTAGGTTGTTGGCATAACAACAAAGAATACAAAAATGGTGAAATCATCCGTGATTTACAGAATGCTTGCTACACATGTCGTTGCCATGGAAGTTCTATTTCGTGCACTTTTGCCGACTGTCTTTACAGAACAGATTGTCAACCGGAATATGTTCAGGGAGAATGTTGCCCTCGATATGATCACTGTCCTCCCCTCAGTAAGCAGACTTATGTTCCTATTTTTTATTTTTCATTTACTTATTGCCAAAGTACATGGCTTAATATGTAACCTCTTTCTTAAATCATTCTTCTGAATTTTCTTGTTTACACTGCTACAATAGCGTTATACTAGTGTCAGCGAGTTTCTGCGGTTTTGCTAGTTATACAAAAATAAAAAAGCCTAACTAGTTTGGAAAAAAAAAAAAAAAAAAAAAAAAAAAAAAAAAAAAAGGAATAGTTTGAATTCAGTACAGAAATAACCACAAAACAGCTTCAATGCAAATTTCAAAATGGTATAGTTTTTAATTCATTACAGATTGCGATACAATTTAAAATTCAGTTTAAAAATGTTCCTTATTTACAGAAGTCAATTTAAAGTTACGAGTATAGAGCTATGCTGAAAATATTTACTTTAATATGACCACTTCGCCCTAAATTTCCTTAACTATCTGTCTCTGTTCAAAACTAACTACCAATAAAAAACTCTCACTTACTGCCTTATATTCTCTGTTAAAGCAATGAAGTTCATTAACAAACAGGTCAAAGGTAGAAAATCTGGGTAATGCCTGTTCCCAATTCTAATTAGAAAGACTGCACTCACACAACTCTAAATCAATTTCAGTAACGATTAAACTATATCGATATACTAATCTCTGTTTTTCGCTAATTAATTTGTATATTCTTTTGAATTAAGCAACTTTAAATGAGAAAAAAATATAGAACGCAGTTATAGAACAAGCGTTACAAATAATTAGAATAACATAAAAAGAAATGTAAACATAATTCACGTATTGTATATCAAAAACAAAAAATATCCAAAACGTTTTAAAGAACCATTTGTTTATTGACGTTTTTATCTTTGTAGGCACGTCTACAATTGCTGTGACACCATCAACAACAACCCCCGGAGTAGTGCAACAAGAAATAACTTTCATCAATATCACTACTCAACATTTACAGAAATTCACTGCTGAAGATACGACTGTCTCTATTGAAGAGATTACACCTGTCGTATCAAGTACAACTACACCTGCTACTGAAAGCACACGTTTCTCTGTAAAATTTACTTTGACTAGTGAAAAGGCAGAATCATCGACACCACTTCCTCTGCAATCTGTTGGGTTTACAGAAACAACTAGGTACGTGACATCAGAAGAGTTTAGCTCATCAAGAACTGGATTACTTGATGAAAATATTAGCAGCGTATCTGATTCAGGTACTGAAACAGCATTTACGCGAGACAGTACGAGTGCAGAAACTGCCCCTGATAATTTATCAGCAATTAATATTGAAGATATTAAATATGACTCAACTACGGATAGGGCTTTCGAAACTTTTGAAGAGCTAGAGGCAGAAGAAACAAAGTCCTCCATTTATCCAGCTTCAGAAACGTCGCTACCACAAAGCGTTTCTCTGTCAGAAGAGACGCATGATAGCAGTGATGAGACGTACTCCGAAGCAGATTCCAGTACAACAAAATCAGAAAGTACAGTTTCAGTAACAGATGAATCTTCACAATTTACAAGATCATCTGAAACACCTGGTGATATACAGCTGATAAAACAGGAGGATGGTACGGAACAGCATGTTGATGAATCTACAACAACAACTACCACTACAACTACAGTAAGTTTTATTCAGTCACATACTGTAACGGGTGATGAATCTTCCTATAACTTTGAGGCCGTTGTTAATGATACAACTCATTTAACGGAAGATATAAATCATACGACAGAGAAGGCTAAAGAGCAAGATGATGCAACTGAACTAACTGAAGACATCGATCACGCAACAGAATTAATCAAAATGTTTGATATCTCAACAGAATTGACTGAAGAAGTCGATAATGTGACAGCACTGACCGAGAAGTTCGATAATGTAACAGAACTGTCGAAAGGTATCGATCATGTAACAGAACTGTCGAAAAGTATCGATCATGTAACAGAACTGTCGAAAGGTATCGATCATGTAACAGAACTTACTAAACATATAAATATCGTAACAGAACCTACTCGTTTGGAAGAAATTTCAGAATCAGTGGAGAGAGAATCAGTTTCGTATGTTCCAATAGACGACACTAAAAATGAAATTTTACAGACGCAAAGCACTGAAGTTCATTATTATGAAAGTACGTCAACAGAAGAAGATAATCATATTAAGGTAAACATTGACTCAGATCTTGAAACTCCCACTGAAACGTATGCAGAATACCTTTCATTCAGTATTACACCATTTGATGCTAAATGCAATAAGGTAGAAAGCAAGTGTGAAGAATCTTCTGAGACTGCTGCAACTGAAGTAACCTCTCAGCATGCTGAAGTTGATTCAGAAAATACTACAGAAGACGATGAACGCGAATATCAGCAAAATACCAATCTTGGTTTAACTGATATTCCTCATTCTGACTATCAGTCTCATGTAATATCATATAAAGATAAATTTACCACAAAAAATGTAACAGATGAAGACAAAACTGAATCAACAGCTTTCGATAAAATAAATGTTACAACTGACAATATTATATCTAGTGCGTCAGATGAAATAGAAAATGAAAGTCATGCATCATTCCATCCTACTGATTTCCATACTGCCTCAGATCTCTATCATGACTCATCGGATGACACCCACAAGGTTACTGAGGCTACTGAAATCCATAAATCAGTAGACATTTTCTCTGCTAATTCAAGCACTACAAAGGCTGCGACAGAACACACTGATGGAAGTTCATATACAACTAATACAAATATATCAAGCTTTGATGAAGTTGAAAACATCAAAAATGAATTAGTACCATCTTTGGACTCTGAAGACATTTCATCTGACTCTAAATCTAGTTCACCCTCGTTGCCAGAAGAAGAACTCGAAACAACGAGTGAGATTATAACTTCTGAAATTTTATATCATCCTACTGTTACAATAAATTTCGAAGGCGACAGTTCGGTTACAGATTCTGAAATAATACCTGATAGCTTGAAAACATTTTCAATAGAAGACAAAGACAGCCAAGATAAAGAAGTATTAAATGATAGTGATTCTGAAGCAAATTCGGATAACAAAATTCATACAACTTCAGGATTACATGAATTACCATCTTCTAGCACTGAATATACTACAACAGATCATTCAAAGCAGAATACAGACATTTTCAAACTTGATATAGCATCTGCAAGTGACGAATTTGATGAAATGGAAGGAGAGGAATTAAGTACAAATATTCTTAAATTTGAGACAACAAAAAATCTAGGTGAAACTTCTACTGTTGGCCATACGGAAGAGAGCAATGATAATGTTTTCCAAATAACAAAATCTGGTACCACGTCAACAAATAAGGAGTATGATGCTACAAATGACTTAAATGATAATAATGACGATGAATCCTCTCAAATTTTAGTAACAGCTGTCACACTTGAAGATGCGTTATTACATGCAACAAATAACAGGGAGAATCAAGCTTCGCATAGTACTAGTTTGGATGAAGACTCTTACACCACATCTTACATAAAAGATCAAAGTACAGAGTCAGTTAAAGTTGAGTTAACATCTGCTTACAACTCATCTCTAATATTGACTGGAATGGAGTTGGACAGCACAGAATCATCGAGTACATCTGCCACAACGTATGATGTAGATTTTGGCACAACGAAAATAGAAGAACCTGCTACAGAGGTTACCGAAAAAATATCTACAGTTTCCCAGTCGAACAGTCCAGCAAATGACAGCAAAACGGAGTCAAATGACGTAGATTCCCCAGACATACAACCATTTGAAAATGCTGATAATAACGAAGCGAATGAAGAGATAACATTAGACCACAATGACATGCTGTCTTCTAAAGGAACAGAACTTTCGACAGAGTCTAATAATTCATTTACTGATATTAAAGAGCCTTCTCAGGAGGTAACAGGACACCGTAACGATATTTTATCTACTAAAGTAACAGAAATTTCTACAGATTCTCATCTTTCCTTTGAAACTGTGCAGAAAAGTGATTCTCAAAAGTTTGAATTTGCGCTTGGATCACCTGCATCGGATACAGAAAGCGAGGACAAAGATGTGAAAGGCACAACACCGTCGAGTAAAGCAACTGAAAAATACCTATTTTCTAGCACTTTTACTGAAAATACTACCCAAGAGATAGACATATTAGAAGCAGAGGAAGACGAATCCCAAGATACTGTGAAATCCAACACTACATCGTATGATACTGCAAGTGTCGTTACTTTGAATACGGGTTACGAAAATAATTATACTTCTCAAGAAGAACCTCACGGAATATCATACACCATTGGAGCGACTTATGGAGATCGCAATTCTGCTGAATCAACCGCTACCACAGACTTAATTACAAAACCTTTCGAAAAGCATGCAACAGACGGATATACTGAAATTGAGGGAAACCAAGATGTTAATAAAACTTATTCCATTATAGATGAGAATAAATTTGTAAATCCATCACACGATATAGATCCTGATCTTTCTTTAAAAGCTGTGAATGCAGATGATTCAGACGCAAAATTTTCATTAAATACCGTTTTAGAAGATATAAATGAACTGCATACAGCTTCTTACACAACATTCCATCTTGATCAATCAAATACAGGAGCTTTTGAAGAAGAGATGAATGTATCAGTTTCGAGTAAAGAAACAGTCTCTATAAACACAAAGAATAGCAGTGCTACGACTACAGAGGCAAACGATGACAAATTTCCAACTGACAATGAAAACCATTCCACAGGGCAGGATAGCTCGGCGGAAGATATTGCTAAAATAGATATTCATCAAGAAGATCACGAAAACGCTCATTTAATAAAAGAGAAAGTTAGTCCTGGTAATTCGACCGATGAATATGATGTACTTGATGCTGAGGAAGATATTTTTCATCAAGTGTCTACTTACAAGGAGCAGCAAACATCGTTAAGCGCACTTGAACTTGTAACATCGAGCACAGAAGCAACAAACGCAGAGATATTAACAAGCATAAAGACCACTGCTGGTCAAACATCAGGCACAGAGACAAGTGCTGAGCAAACATCAAACGCAGAGATAAATGCTGAACGAACACCAAGCCCAGCGGCACGTACTGAGCAAACATCAAGCGCGGAGCAAGCATCAAGTACAGATTCTGAGCTAACAACAAGCACAAAGGAAAATTCAGAGCAAACATCAAGCACAGAAACAACTGCTGAGTATACATTAAGCAGACAGACAGATGGTGAGCGGCTCTCAAGCACAGAGGCAAGGGCTGATCAAACATCAAGCACTGAGACAAGCGTTGACCAAACATCCGACATAAATGTAAATGCTGAACACATATCAAGCACAGATATAAGTACTGAACAAACATTAGGCCCACAAACCAGAGTTCAGTTCCAAGTTGTAGAACGTTTGAGTGATAATGAAACCAGTAATACCGAATTTTTTACAACAGACGCAACAGAAATATCAAGTGCAAAGTTGTCGACAAAGAACAGCATAGTTTCAAATATCGAATACAAAATAGCCAGCCAAGCACAAACAAACGTACCAATATCGGCAGAGAAGGATAACAATAACTATGAAATAGGCGAAACATCTGAATCTGAAGAATTTGACTCTTACGAAGATGAAGAACAGGATTCAGAGCCCATTTCATCAGAAGACTATGTAGAGATAGGGAAAGACGAGAAAGTGTATAAAGATAAAGTACTCACTGTGACTAGTGACATAACTTCTGAGAAAACAGAAATGAACCAGAGAACAACAATAATAAGCATTTTATTTGGCAGAAATGATTATTCAAACTATCCCGGTGAACAGAATGCAGGAGATTTTGAAGAATATTTAACCACTGAAAAGTCTTTGAAAGAAACTGAATCGGATAAACCATTCACTCCATACATTGAAATTACGACTGAAACTGATTCTGAGAATGAGGAATCTACTACTGAAGGATCTAGAAACGAAAACATAGATGATATCGTTTCAAATCTTTCACCGTCTCTGAGATATGTAACAGGGAGGAACTTAAACACGATGGATGATATTCTTCATCAATCAAGCATTTTATCCAATTCTTATACTCAGTTGACATCCAATTCGAATGAAATACAGGATGTTGTAAATACAGAAGCCATCAGTCAGGAAAACATTATGGAAAGACGAAAAAACTTAGATGCTATTTCGATTGAAGGAAAAGCAACCGGAAGTAATGCTCAAAACTATCTTACTAAATTAGTATCTCCAAATAACACACAAACTATTGCTAAAATATCTGGTTCTAAAACACCTGAGATTAAAACCGCTCATGACACAGATGCTTACAGTGCGTACGGCTATTTGGGAGGAGTTTTCATAACTGGAAAGAGCAAATATTCTGCTCCAACAGCTAAACTTTCATCTTCAAAAAATATTACGCTTTTCTTAAATAACACACAAAATGAATCCGATAATAACAATCAGCTTGCCGATCTAAATAAATCTACGCCAGTCACAACAATCGATAATCATGCATTCGATCGCAATATCGACAGCAAGAAAATGCATGAGGAAAGAGCAGAAATAGCTGTTAAGTCGCACAATGAAGCTGAAATTTATCTTAAAAATGAAACCGAAATTAAAATCAATAATGTGACTGACACTTCAGCAAACGATGAAACAGAAAATTTTACACCTGATACTACTGTAAATATAACAATAGAACATTTTCAAATTATTAATAATGGCCCGGAGAAAGGCGGAGAATGGTTTGAGCCCACAGTTCCTGAAATTCCTTTCCGGAAAAATATAGATGATTCAAGAACTGATCCAGGGCCAAAAATTGTTGCGAATGGAAACGATGAAGAAATAGAGCATACTACCAGTGCCAGGTATTCTATAACCACAGATTTAAATGACTTGCCGTTAAAAGAGAACAGAAGTAAAGTAAGAGATGACACAATTTTATCTGATGTTAGTGAAAATAATGTAACACCATATGATACAAAGTCCACTTTTATTACCAATGGTGCATTAGTGAACGATACGGAAACAACCACTATTCTTAAAACCTTACCTCCTTTGCCTATATATTTAAGGGACATTTCGGAATTAAAAGCAAATGCAGATAAGCTGAGGATAAATCAAAGCGAAGTTCCGCAAAACGAGCTTCCAAACCATGAAGGGTATACATCTTTTAGTATTGAGAACTACACTACCGTCGATTCAGTGGAGCATAAAACTGACATTCCGCCCCACACAATCATTCGTCCAGTAGCAAAAAGTTCTCAAGCAGCAAAAGAAATTGAAAAGCTGCCTTCTTATTCCATGGTAGATGTTATTTCAAATGTCTTCAAGGCTCCAGGATACGATTCAGAAGTTCATGCAAGATCTCTAAATAAAGACAAACCCGTTTTCATCGTGAAGCGAAACGCAAAGGAACCTGAAGTTTCAAGTTCAACAGAAAACACCGAAGTAATATCTACCCCTAAAGTGAAATATTCTACCAAAGATAGCATAACTATGAAAGGTGCATTATTGGTGGGAGGTTACGGAAAGAAATCAGGTCATTTCTTTCCAGTCACCTCATCGTTTATAATTGTTGAATCACCGGAGGATAATGAAACCAGTAAAGGTGACTGGACAGAAGTTGTGTTATCGAACGGTTCTACTGTTAAACACAAAAATGAAAATTCAGGTTCTCGAAAATGAAGTGTTCATCATTGTGCATACCCGTCAAGTGAAAACCATTCTAAGTGTTCCATCTTCTATGGACAGCATGTTGCACATCAAATAGGTAACATGCTGTCCATATTTAATTGTTTAGTGCCTTAGAACATCGAAATACAATTTGTTACTAAGAAATGAAGACAAAACTATTTCGAAAAACAAATCATAATAAAAGCAATACAAAACTTCTAGGGATTAAAACGTACTTCTTAGAATTAAACAGCGTGTGCAAACATCACAGACTTGAAAGTAGATACTTTTAAATCCTTTATCATTGGTATATTTCAAACATGTGGGGGAATTTTTATGCTTTTATTCTTTACAACATTTTATTGTTACTGTTTGGAAATACTGTGGTTCTTGTGCAGTGCAGTGTCTTTTCCTCTTTATTTCTGTGAAACTCGACTTTTAAAAATTTGGGCTCTATGATGTACATTATTAGGTTCATGGCAATCATTTTTATTTTGTGTCAATTTTGAAGAAGCAAGGGATTGAAAAGAAATCGCATATGAAGAGCAATATTTTGTGAAAAATTTCATTTTATGTTCATCTGTTTTCATGTGCTTTATTTATTTGTTCATTGATAACGAACTTGAAATTGAACTTGATGAGCTGTGATGTCATGAATGAAATGAGAAGAATCATTTATCAACGCAGTTTCAATCTTAAGTGTGTTATGTTTTGAAAATGTTTCAGTGATGTAAATGTAATCCGTATCTATTTATTTTAAGAAATTAAACTTTATGGCTTATACGTTAGCACCTTTTTTCTTTCGATATTTTTTCCTTTAACATGGATTATAACATGATGAAGATGTTTCGCTGATTTTTCAGAACCTATCTTACGTCATCTTAAACAAGCATCATTTTGATTCTTACTGATACACAATTGTTTGACATCTAAGATATCCCTAAAAATTATTACATTCACCATTAATCTCATTTTAGTCGATTTTCTGCTCATGCTGATTGAATTACTTAATGTTAAATGAAAAGAAATGTCAAACAAGATCAGTTAAACTTTGAAAGCATGCCTAAAATCGGCCTATCTCTTTCAAAGTAGTCTGTATATTTAAAGATCAGGTTTAGTGCTTTCACCATAACTGTAATGCTTCCTGGAAGTCTTTTAACTGAATTTATTAATTATCATCTGCCTAAGTGGCCTAAGTGTCTTACGATTCTTAGGTGAATCAGTTAATCTGAAAATGAAGGGCTCCGAAGAAAGCTAGGGATGTAATGATATGAAGAGGACTGTGTATTGGGAATTTATCCATCAAAGTCAGACATCCAGAAAAGGTTTCATGTTATTGTTTAAAAAGGCAAAGTACTTCGAAAAAATAAATATTTTTATCTAAAAAGGAAATGTTTATAGTTTCTCTTCACTATACTCACCAAATTTGGAATTCTCATGCATTTTTATTTTTAAGATAGAAATCTAAAGTAATTTAGACTTTATGTTTATTTTGAATTTCAAATTGTGGTAAATACAGTTTAATTAATAATAAACTACCAGTGACCATTCATTTAGCGATGCACGATCTGTCATTCATGCATATTCGTTCAAGGACATTAGTTTAGATGGAACAGAAAGCAAATTTAATTAAATTTATAAAAATAACCGGTTCAATTTATTCGGCTTCTTTCTGATCGCCGACTTGATCACTCTGAAATTTGTTATGTGTTGATACTTATAAAATACAAAATTACGCAACGCAAATATGCGATCGCTTTTATTTTAATAAAAATAATAAAACAGTAATAAAAAGATTAGGAAGTTAAATAATTCATTATACCAAGATTATGTCGCTTTCTTCGCAATTATTCAAACATTTTGTGAAATGCATAGCTCGAAATTAATTGCAAAAATATCTTTAATTAAATATATATGATTTAATTTTCCAATTTATAAAACTATAGGAACCCAGAATGTATTATTAATTTATTTCAGTGAGATGTGATATTCTGAAGAAAATTTGAGTTTGAACTGCTACAACGATAAATCGCCAAGCTTTTGAAGCCATAAATTGTGTTAAATTTTGAGAAATTTCAAACAACACCAGGACTTAAATCTTAATGAAAAGTCACGAATCTTAATGAACATCTTAATTAAATCTTAATGAAAAGTCACCTAAGATGTCTTATTCATCTTTTTTAAGAACCATTAAGCACTACATGGTTTAATACTTACAGGTTTTAACATGTGTACATTCTGCTTATAATAGAACTATCGCAGACATCTAACCCTCTCTCATGATTCAAACATTGATGTAACTAAAACATTTCCTCCATGACAGCAATCGTACCAATGAATTAAATTTGAGTGTTAGTTATTCTTTTCTTTTATAAATTAACAAAACATTTTCCTTCTATTCAAAATTGCTTTCCTGCGGTTCCTCTTATATTTGCATTCCATTAAGAAATTTTTGGAAACTTCCATTATGCAGGAAGATATCAAGTTCAAGAGTTTTCTTTTGCTCTTGAATATGAAGCATAGAGAAGCATAAAAAAGTTCTTTTTGTCTCCCTTCCTTTTTATGATCAAAATTTTAGACGCATATATTTAGGAGTTTATATGCATAAAAGTTTACTGTACGTGTTATTCAGTCGCACCAAAAACATATATAAATAATTCATTAATTATTATTTTTGAAATTTCTAGTAAAAGTCTTCTTTTCTTTGAATAAATCAATTCTTTAAGATTCCTAGACGCAGCAATGCCTCTCAATTATCCGCATTTCGAGAGAGTATTTACATCTTCGCTAGAGCGTCGCCTTATAGAGGTTATGTCTAATGTATCCGTTTATTTATGTTTTCAGAAATTACTTTTAGAAGTGATCTTCTATGGAAGGTGACTGCCAAAAGAGAATCCAATGTAAATTCTAAATTTATTAGATTAGTAATTTAATAAACAACAAGAAATGAATGAAAGATTGCTAATTATGGAAGCCAGTGCATTGCAGGTTTCATCATCCGAAATGAGTCTTGAATAAAAAAGTAAATTTCTGGGAAGTTTCATAGAATAAATTGTGAGTTCTTTGCAATACGAAATTACTTTTTAACAGCGTTTATTTATTTACCTCAAACGGTTTGATTTCAAAATACTTTCTGTACCTTTATTTTCTTCAGAAATTGTATATATAATAGAAAATCATAGGTAGAAGGAAAATAATAAAGCATTGCTTCCTTTTCAAACACCTAACCCTAAAGGCCGATGATGAAGGCCACGCGTTACTTGCATAAACATCTAGTTAGTATAGTTTACTAGGAAATTGCTAACTAAATCACCATCTGTGGGGGCCCAGACTCGTTCAATTGGAGCCGAAGGATGACGAACTGCGCTTCCTTCTCCTGTGGGATGACTTCCTCATTATGAAAAGCGAAGTGGAAAACAAGCAGGATGAATAGAGATCGCTTTCGTACGGTTGGATTTCTTCCATTGATCAGAAATAATTAAAGAGAGAATTCAGAATCTTCGAATTGTTTGTTTAATGATTTCTATTTACCTCACGTAAGTACGATTAAAATTGCAAGCCAGCAAATACGATTTACAATTTGTGTTTAAAAATTTTTTAATGGATACAGTTACAAATTTGAATAGCTGTAAGTAAATGGTAATGCCGAAATAGTTGAAGAAGTTAAATATTTAGATACAAAAAAGCTATTCTGAACAAATTCTGAATTCTGCATATGCTGTCACAAATTTTTCATAGCTAAGCCTTTTTCCATATAATAAAATAATCTATCTCCATAAATTGCATCATTACTAAATAATAATAATAATAATAAAATCTGACAGCTTTCGAATTTTATATTACGCCCAAAGGGGCGTTTATTTCATTTACATACGCACGTTTCGAGAACATTTGGGATAATGTTCCTTTGGCCTAAAAATATTTCAAAATAGCAAATTTTTAGAATTTCCGACAGATATTCTCGCGCACGGGAGAAAATTTTTTTTCCTGTACAGTGTTGCCACTGCTCGCTTTGAAACCGTTGAGTTTGTTAATAAAAATTTCGTTAAAGTTTTATAAAATATGAAATAGACAGTAAAACAAAATCGGGCTTCCAGGTGTCCATATTTGGGTAAAGGCTACGTTATTCAAAATCTCATGGCTCTAAGTACCGTTTTTTCACAATGCGAAAAACATGCATACATTCATTAAGATTCTTCATCATTTAATTACTATAAATCAAATATAATACAGGGCGATAATATTTGGTGGCAACAATTTAATAACGCCGTTTACAGTGAACAAACGCGAAATGCTGTTTCGAGACATTAGTCTTTCTGGGCTAACGCTTCTTTGGCTAATGAAAATTAATTCAAATTTTTTACCTTTCAGAAATTTGTATTCTGATTTTTAATTATAATGTATAATAAAATTTGATTATTTTTTTAAAGTTGGTCTTATAAAAAATAAATATTATAATATAATGTAAGAATTTTTCCTTATAAATTAGATTTTCTGCCACCTCTCAAATCCAGAACAAAAAAACATCAGCAGATACGAAACCATAAAATTCAGCATAAGAAATTTAAAGCATTTTACCTCATTCATTAGCTTTGTTATCCTTTTTGGCACTTGCACTCTAATAAAAATAATGAAGTGGCTATAACAAGAGTGTGAAATTAAATAATTCATCGTACCATGTAATTTTTGAATTGCGTCATGAATGTATTGTACCATGCATTTCGCATTTTTTTAAATCTTTTGTGCAAAGGACAGCAAATTTATTGTTTCTGAGATTAACTTTAGATTAAAACAGATTCCAAATGTTTAGGATAATACAATGCAATTAGAAGTCTATGCCGAGAGAGTCAGAAACCACAGTGTAAACAGTCAGTATGAGGCATTAGCATTAACCAACCTGCAGATATGGGGAATCAGACGGACAGTTTTGGGATACCATTTTTGAACTTCGTATTATATATAAATGCGTATATCAGCAATACAATTTTTTTATTTTCTTTGTATATATGAACACACACAAACACACAGTTAGTGATGTGTTTTAACACTCTTTAACACACAGTTAGAGAAAGTTAAAACACATCACATTTAAAGAAATATATTCAACGGAGAATGCAACATTCTCAATTAATGTCTCTCACACCTTCCCTGGTAAGGATTAATATTTCGATATTATTATATATTATTACTATATACGCTTTTCTAACTCCATGCAGCCTGCCTTAGTAGTGCAATTGGAAGTACGTCTGACTAGCAATCCGAAGATATGAAGTTCGAGTCTCGGAAAGAGCATTAGTGATTTTCGCATTTCCTGCCTAAAATTCCTAATGGCTATACAATAGTACATATCATTTTCAGGTATTGCTTTGTAAAATAAGGAAAATATAGGTTATAATGAAAAAATAAATAAAATGATAGATTTTCGACAATCATGGAGTTCTGTTGATAATTAGTATCCGAAAGCTAGGCCAATTAAACCATAAACCCATGCCATACAATTCCAAATGCAAAATTAAATCAACACTTTTCATTTTCAGATATCAACAAACGGAAGTTCGCGTATTCAATTCGCTGTTCATGATGAACGATCATTACATTTAAAAATGTTTAACATTGATTTCATAAAGGGCTGGCAAATCTGAAGGCAAGAATATGATTGTTGTTAGCCTTTTACATACATTCCTTTTAACGCTATATTTACCGGTTCGCCGTCTGAAGGCTCTAAATCAGTTACTCAGCCTTTTTTTTTCGCTCTTTCGCTCATTGTACTTTCCTGAATTTTTAAAAT